GATTGATCCAAATGTGGAAATCTCTTCTTACCTTTTACATTTGTACAACCAATACAACTCAATCTCAACCGTCCATATATATATATATATATATATATATATATATATATATGGGTTTAATTATTTGAGAACTCCATAAATTTGTGATAACCATGGGAACTCTTATCTTAAGATATTATTTCACATTATATATTCATCTAAGACTAACATTTAATATATTAATAAAAACGTATATATGTTTCACCATGTGTTGTCTTCATATGTATGCGGTTCACAACATGAAACTTTTGTTCTACAAACAGACTAAAAAAGTTCACATTGTAAAACAAATACATGTGAGACAAACACACTATAAAACAAATATATGTTAATTGATATTCTAAATCCTAATCTTAGATGAAAAATATTCATATGAAATCGTATATGATGCACTAGTCTCAAGGTTATCACAAGTTTATACGTTCTCAAAGAAGGTCCCCTTAAACATATAGGGGTGGATTATTTTGCAAATCAAGTCATTTGTACAAACTGTACACATATTTTAAACATCTGATTGGTTACTCCTAACCATACACATAGTCCATATACATAAGATTGAGTATCGGTAAGAATGAGAGTTAAGGTGAGAAATATAATAAGAGATCTCTACCCTTAGAGATGCACCGAGATGCACTGGATCTATCCCCGTATTAAGCGCGATTCATTGATGAGTTTGAGATTAAAGGTGATCAAGGGTCCAGATCCTTACGCTTTTCACCTTAACTCTCGTTTATATATATATATAAACGAGAGAGAACGCTTAGTTCAAATGTTAACCCAAATTATTGTGTTAACTTTATAAACTTTTTAGACCAATCACAATCCATCTTAATATTATGTTTTTCACTATCTAAGGATTTAATGTTAAGAGCATATGAGTCATCTTTTTTTGTTAACTCTTATATCATTAATTGGGAGTTAGAAAATTCATAAAATCTCGTGATTTTTACATTTTTACTATTGATCTTGTGATTTTTTTTCATTTTTTAATATTGATCTTTCATCTTTAATATTTATAAATTTGTGATTGGTGGAGGAGATCTGCTAGTAAAGTGTTTGTTATCGTTCAAACAATTATGGATAAAGACATTGGAAAACAGCACGACAACATTAAGAAAGTTAAAATTGTTTATGGTGACAGTCGGAGTTCGAGATCAAGAAGTGAAGTAAATAATCAAAGTGAGTATCTTGTAATTATGAACATAAATTGACATATATGAACATTTGTGGCAATTATGAATACAAATTGAATATATACGTTAACACTTGTGGCAATTATGAACATAAATTGAACATATATGAACACTTATGACAATTATAAACACATGACATATATGTGAACACTTGTGGCAATTATGAACACAAATTGAACATATATGAACACATGTGACAATTGTGAACATAATTGAATATATACGATTTCTACTGTTTGTAACCAATGTCATTGAATGCATTATCTTTTACATAATTACCTTTCAACAATTACGTTCACAATGTTTGTGAGATTACACATTTAATAAATTAAATTTATAATATGATTAATCTCAACCCTTTTATTATAAAAATCAATAGTAATGATTAGTTTATAAAGTTAACACAATAATTAAGGTTAACAAATGAACTTTCCCCTATATGTATATGTTGGGTTCAGTGAAAATGAGAGTTAAAATAAGAAGCATAAGAAGAGATCTTCATCTTACGATGAGATGCACTGGATCAATCCTCGTATGGAGCGCGATTCATGGATGAGTTTGAGATTAAAGATGATCAAAGGTTCAGATCACTTATAACGTTAATCATCCGAACTTTAATTCTCACACAATCATTCGATATATATAAATAGTTTTTTTTTCCCATTTCTCACGATTTCAA